ATGGACGTTGATCAATTGAACAAACATTCACAGTGATAACAAAATACATTCTGTGATATTTTAGAATACCGATATGTAAACGAGATCTTACTTAAAAATATGAGAAATATTTTCTCGGAGAACCTATAAAAAGTACAAGAATTAAATAATGTCAAGTTCTCATTTGAGAACCGGGTATTTGCATTTGAGGTTAACACATTTTTTGGACCGTCCAACAAAACTTACCATTATCAGAATGTTTGAATTCAGACAGGCATGAGCCAAATTAAGATATACTTCAACTAGAGATATAGTTAAAAATTGATGAAATCATTGAATTATTTGTGAATACTTTCAAGTATAGGTACCTATATTTGAAATATAATGGTAAAGACGACGTATATTTCTACCAGGTTGTACATATGTTTCAACCCAATTGCACTCAAATGTGACATTCACCGACGTCCTTTGTGGACTCTTTCTAATAAGGTAGTAAACACTGTTAGTGTACTTCAGATTCCAAGGTTTCTTATAACCAGCGAGCCTCATTTTAATCCATTCAAATAATGGACCGTTTCAGAAAGAATATATTTATATCTGGCATTGTGTTGTGTAAGATTGATGGAAATATGAGGTTATGTACATCCCTTTCTGGATTTTTACTTTGATTGAGACCAAGTTTGTTTTTTCTCAGTCGCCTCTAAGTTGCAAAGTTTATGCCCTGGTTATCACTGATGATTCCTTGAAGGAACAAACAACTGTTTCATGGAGTTCTCATTTTTTTGTTATACGTTTAAGTCTTCAGTGTAATTGCCAGAAAGATAAAACATATACACCCGAATCCGATCGAGGTATCTGAAAATGAATCTTGGGTGATATTGAACTAGTTAATCTATTTTTGTGGTTTAAGTAATGTTTGCTTTAATTGAAATCAAAATATTTTTAATGTACATAAATGTTCAAAAGATTCCATTGTATGATCAAATAATTCATGATGAGATGAGTATAATATCGCAATGAGATGATGCCACTTACGAATTTAAAACAAATGGAAAGTGTAGTTTGTATACAGTAAAATTTTACGATGTTAATATTTTGTATTAAAGTGATATATTGTAATACAGGTAAAATAAATTACAAAATTAAATAAAATGGAAAGTGTAGTTTGTATGCAGTAAAATTTTACGATGCTTATATTTTGTATGAAAGTGGTAGATTGTGATACGTTTAAAAAATTGAATAACATGAAAATTGTAGTGTGTATGCAGTAAATTTTTACGATGTTTGTATTTTGTATTAAAGTGATCAATTGCGGTAAATGTATCGATTATTACGTCTAGGTTTACGTGTCAGTTATTTGCCAACGAATCAGACGTGTAACTCCTTTAGACCACACAAGTGTATACATACCACTTATTATGGCTGTGTCCCCATTCAATAACTTTTGAAAATGACAGAGACAGAAGAATGTTGTTAAAATGATTATCATGGATGTTAGAAGATTCATATTACATTACACGCGTTTTTACCTGTGGTGACACGTGTCATCTAACCTTACTATCTTTGTTCTCACTAAATATTAACATTACATAGCAAATAATGACAAGATAAAGAAAATGTTTCTAATAAAAGTGTTTAGTTTGCTTTTCATGCAATATTGAGATCAATATCTTAAAATATCTTATAACATATTATAATTGATAACACGCAAAAATAAATTACGCTACAAAGATGTAAACTTCTGTGAAGCATCTTTCACAAAAAAGTTACTTATTTGTAATAATGTTTATTATACGTAAATCAGCCAGTATTTTCCTTATTAGATAATATTAAGGTTCCTAACTTACTTGATGTTAAATTATGTTCGTACCCAAGCCATTGGTCATATACCAAATTATCATTAGTTGAAGGTTTTGTGAAATAATTAGAAAATATCATCATAAATTATTTTTATTACTTTGTCACATATTGATTCACGATGAACATATGTAATTCAAAACAAAATGAATTGATAACCGGAAAAAATAATGCACAATTAATACATATCACTAAATGATTGGCTATTGCAAGATGAACAATTATCTCATTTAAACATTGATGTATGGATATCTAGTGTTATAATGAAATGTACAGATTGCGTTTAGGATATTGGTTACGTCATGAAGATAAACATGTGTATGAAGTTTTAAAAAGATATTTATTCATACTTTTCGTCGAGATTGTGCGGGCATTTTAACTTCAATATAACTTTATATTTCATAAGTGTCAACCAATGCACAGTATATTATGTGTTACTTATCACTTAATGTAATATGATTATAATTAATGTGTATGAACTAATATACTATTTTTGTATGTAATGTGTATCAACATTTTTTTTGTAAATTATATGTATCACTAAACGTGATATTTTTACAATTAATTTGTATCACCAATGTAATATTTTTGTAAGAAATGTGCATTAACAATGCTATATTTTTGTAATTAATGTATATAAATAATTGTGGTATGATTTTTTATAATGAGTATCAGCAAATTGTATTTTTTTAAATTAGTAGTGATATCTGTTTGTATTTTATTTAATGACATCAGAATAGATAAAGTTGTAAATGATGAAATGTATGACGTAATTTTGACACCGATATATTGCACTAGAAATAGGTTAAAATGAACAAAAAAACAATAAAACAAATTAAAAGGGGCCGTGTAGTGTATATATACAGTATTTGGTAGAACTTTGTAGTCAGTATGAAAATGACTATAATTGGATTGGCATTATCTTCATAAAACGACACATTCCTTTGTTTTGTGAACATTTGGCTAATTGCGAAAAAACCATTTGAACAAGCCCTTTGAACAAACCCTTTAAACAACCCGATATTTCTTGTTCTACAAATCAGAGATATTGTGCAAATATCACCGTATTTATATAAGGCATCGAAAGACAAACAGAAAATTTAAAAAAAAATCGATTAACATGAAAAAATGTTTACATATAATTATCTACAAATGGAATGAACCCAGACAACAATCGCTCATTACTGCACTTAGCTATTATAATAGCAATATTGCTTTAATTGTAAGGCCCACTGTTGATGATTACAAACGGCGAGATACTAGGGACTAATTATAGCTAGGTGTGGACAGAACCATTAGCCCCGAAAGACTGGAAGCTAAAGGCTAATAAATACGATCAAAGCTTTATACTTACAGTTATTTTTTAAACAAATTAATATTCGGCAGAAAATGTCGACATCTATCCCAGGCTAAAATTCTTCTTAATTTTTCTCAAACGTAATTGATGTATTTAACGTTTGTGCCAACACTTTTATTTGTCAATCTATGAGAGGTATAATTAAATTATTATTTAATAGATGGTAGTTCATTTATATGAAGAAAAATGTTACAAGCATGTCTTTCGCTTCGAGATTTTTTATACAACCGTCACAAATTTCGACAGACACATAAAATTATTTAAGGAAACAGTTAAAACATTAAGGTTTTACTTAAACTATTCCAGTGTTCATTGACTGGCATATACAAGCACAAAGATACACCGTGATAAAGGCATAGAAAGGCGTAAGCGCACAATGACATGTAAGAACAATAGTTGTTACATTAGATGTTAACTTTTCATACATCTAGGCTGCAAAAAGTTTGGCCCTTTAGCATCACTTACAAGTCCTAGAAGGACAAAACAGCTGTATGGTGCAGTTTACTTAATTGTTTCGCTTTACTTTACCTCACTCTAAATTTGTATTAAAAGGTGATATTCACATGAGTGACTTTGTTCCAATGTAGACTTATATGTAAACCGGTATTCATGTGTGGCATATGCTTTTCTGCACAATATTTCTATATAATACGCCAACAAGATCGTGAATAAATTTAGTAAGATTTTGTTCATGTTTATTCTTGAATGTATCTTGTAAAGTTTCATTATTTTCTCAGCGTGTATATCTTGTTAAATTGCTCTTGTCGTTGATAAATATAACTTACCCTGATAAAATACTCTGCATTTGACCTCTGCATATGATAAGCAGATGTAACCTACCTGACGATGTTAAATTTTGATCAGACTTGGTCACTGATATGTGTGAGCTCGTCAACGATACAGTCATGGTTGAGTATGCGAATGACTCTATGGCTGTGTATGAACTCCCGGAGAGATCAAACTGCTAACACTTAAATCTTACTGGTATTGCAGATTACACCTGGTCGATGGATATAATAGATGCCAAAACACTGGACTCAATGACCTAGTCATTCTTCAGCCGTTATTAAGGTAGGATCAGTTCAATTCACTGTCGCACATGAAAGCATTCCGGGTTTTACAGTTGGATGGTTTTCAATATTTTCTGTTATTTCACGCACTGATGATGCTGCTTTTTCATAGGTTGTATGCTAAATATCATTTGGAATTTATTTCAAGTCCAAGCAATTTCATAGGGCATACTGTATTGAAGCCTGACTCAAGACTCTGAAAAAATACAATGATAGTGCATGTTTTTTTTTGAAGTGTTCAAAACAAAGTCCCAAACTGGTAAACATATGAAACATTTGACCAAGTTTTCTCATTTAAGTGATTAAATCATTTTTTACTTGTACAAAGGTAAATTTGAGAAAGAGTGAGCTGATTTTGTGTTTAATGGCGCAAGGCCTCAATATCACTTATCACTGTGAATGAACATGCTTTGTTGTGTTATATTTATGTCACTGTATCATTATTCTGTATTATGCTATCTTCAAATCAAAGAAAAGAAAATACAGCACCCGTATTCCTTAATGGCTTCATAAGCCCAGTGTTCCAACTACTATATCGTAAATGTGTCCTCAGTGTAGTTAACTCTCTGTGGAAGTATTCAATGAATCATTATATTATCATTAATGCACATTCTATCAATGTCGGTTGTAACCCACTCTGTATCTATACACTAATTTACAACCGATTATAATCAATATATGACACAAGGCATACTTTGGTTTAAATCATGGCCGTATTACCTGCATGAATATTGCAGGGAGAGAAGAGAATGGGCTTGAGTGCCAGTCGAAAGGAGGACTACAATAAGCTGATCCTCGCCATCCAACGTGGAGACCTAGATGACATTGAAGAGCTCCTCAGCACAGGCCTTAAGGTGAAAATGGTCACATTTAAACAAGGAAAAAATTGATTGAAAAGAGGACTTTTAAAAACAATATTTCAAGCTTCATAATGTTTATGTGGACTTTTTTTCAAATATGAAGTTTCCCGACTAGGAGTGGATCGGTACTAATTGTGTATAAAATAATGATATTTGATTGATTCATTTATTGATTTATTGATTGATTGATTTATATTATATACTACTTAAAGGGTGGCAACACTGACGGAAACATACATTATTTTGTTTACGTGTTGGCAGATAAACAAGCCGGTTGATTCTACATCGCTCTTGTATAATGCTGTGGAAGGTGGTCACGTGAACGTAGTCAAATTGTTAATCAACTGCGGAAGTGATGTCAATATCGGTAGGATCAATGGTATGTTTTAAACTAGTTGTTAAAACTTCTGTGAGTATTAAACGTTGTGTGTTACGCTTATCTTAAATGACAAATACCTAATTAAAAGAAGCACGGACAATTCAAGTCCGCGAAAGAAGATACGAATTTCCTTGATAAAATGATTACAAAATACAAATAATTAGACCACTTTATTCTGGCTTGCTTTTAGGTAAAATGTTAAGACAACATGCATTAAGAAGGTTATACAAACGCGTGCGTTTCTGGTCGACGCCTAGGTTTTGTATCATTTAAATTTTAGTAGAAAACAAATGAATCACGAAAAGATATATTTGAAGTAAATCAATTAGATATTAGTTTCTGTGTATTCTCTCACATCATTGGCATTCTGGGTTCAGTAATGGACGTATTTCTTAAGGAAATCAATATACCGACTCTTCGAGAATCATGACCTCCTGTTCATAATTTAGCGTACAAATAATGGATATTGCACACCGTGTATAACGACTGGACTAAATGTTGATCCCATACAATTATGGACTCGCACTTGAACTGAATTGAACTGACTTGACGCACAGTCATACGGTTGGCACAACCTTAAAGGGTGACACGTCAGAACAATACGCTCAAGGCATCTTTCAATGATGGAAATGAGATCCACTCATGTTTACATTGTTCAACCAGAAATGCTTTCTTTGTGTAGCTGTACTATAAGGATATTCATAGTTTATGGTAGGTAAATACGGTAAACACTAGTTAGCCTCAAGAATGTTAAAAGAATTGTATTTTCTTATTTTGTTTACATGTACTCTCAGGTCGAAGGTCGCTTATGGGTAATTTAATTTCAAAAAATATTTTACTAACTAAATTTGATTCACTGGATTTGGGGCAGCTGACAAAGGCTATATACGAGCCATCTGTCTAAAGATACTTATATAGTATTGCAAACCTTTATATTGTTAGGAAATTAATAATTTACAAACGAGTCATCTACATTTATATTGATGGATGCTTGATAACAACTATGTGTTCAATGCATTTATATTTAAAGTACGCCAGTTATCAGAAATAAACAATTGTTTTCGTATTGAAAACAATGTATAGGTTGTTGTAAGGGAAAATTCCAGGATAAGTGTGTTATTTTATGTTGAAAATATCAACAAATCCCCAACCCAGCTTTAAGAAATGCATGCAAAGCTCAAGTCAGAATGAAATATGATGATATACATTATTCGGATCGTTGGTATGTATCATGCTTTTGTATGCCTGATAACTGTGACAGCAAGTGCACATATGATGTTGTGGAAAGAAAAGTTTGAATTATGAAAAAGTCTTGAACCACCTAAGATATTTAATGTATCTAGATGACTTTCTGTTGAGATCAACGGATCGATAACACCTTGTTTTAAATATATAGATGATGGATGCTCAGTTATAGAGATTATGACTAGTAGTTAGAAATATTTCTTGAATGTGTCATGACACGATTCAGCTGGTAGGATATGAAGCATGATAAATCAATACCATCCAACCGTAACCGTTAAGTACTGATGACCGTCATTGACGCATGACTATCCTATTACATAATATGATTGAGGTCACACTTTAGTGTCTGGGAAAACTAAATAATGATATCGAGGTAACCGTTAACTATCAGGAAAACATGATGATATTATCGAGGTAAAATAAATATTGTCAAGAAAAAATCTTACCTAGGTAACAATTTATTTTCTGGAAAACTAAATTATAACATTGAGATACCCATTAATTGTCTGGGAAACATGATGATATCAAGGTGACCTTTAACTGTCTGGAAATCAAATTCATATCACTAAGATGACCAATACAGCCTGGAGAACAAGTCAATACTTTAAGATTCCCTATCACGAATTACTGTCCAGAACATTACAATCATTCATAACAGTCTGTTGTTATCAACACAACAACTAACACTTTTGATTTGGAGTAAAACTGGAAGTATTCAATGATAACTGAACTTCTTTTATCTCTTTGTTGTTTGTTCACAGACTCTGTTGTTGCCAACTTGATGCCAAGCACAATGTATGAAATCGGTAAGTCAAATCAAAAACACGTAGACAATATAACGATAACACGTCTTTATGTGATGGGTCATAAATTGAACCAAAGATCTAAAGTTAGATTAGGATATCGATGTCGTAAAGAATGATATGAAAAAAAGATGGTAAGACATTTGTTGGAGCCATCTTAGTTTTAAGGGAACTTCATTAACATATTATCAACAGATGTAAAATTCACAAAATATATTCAATGACACGCTTCAGTTGATACCCAGGCCCCACTTGTATAAAATATCTCAATTTCAGATTTCCTCAAGCCCGGATTTTCCTCAGCTAATATCTCCTTGAAAATATCTTGTATGAAAATTCCTCAAGGAATTTCAGGACATCCTAGCCGAGGACTTCCTCCTGTTCCTCGAGAAAAATTTTATACAAGCCGTTTTTGAGGAGATATCAGCAAAGGAAAATCTCGACATGAGGAAATCTCAAGTTGAGATGTTTTATACAAGTGGGGCCAGAAGTACAAACAATTTTCTTTGACAACTGCTACGACTAACAAACCATTGATATAAGTGGTATACAATATTTGCAAGAAATGGCCTTATACATCTCAACCATTGAACCCGTTTTTGGATGGATCGCTCTGGGTAGCGTGGCATTGCTTTGGAGATTGTAGATCAATACTTGATGCCGCTATAATCGGTAAAAAGAAGTCCACATCTGAAACAAGATGGCGTTATGGTGACGGCTGTAATGAATCGTCATGCTTCAGTGGACGGACATAGTATGTAGTAACTGCCTCATGTAAGACTCGTAGCCATAGCAACAAGTAAATATATATTAGTATGTCTCCTCAAAATCAATGAGGATTAATGTGAATCACGCTTTCTCGTCTTTCGATGACTAGTATGACGGTGATCAATATTAGTGTCAAGTCCTACAGGTATCATGTCGCTGTTGTCATATACGCTGTGAATGTATGCGTTTTACGTTTTAAAACGTCAGTATGCGGTCAGTGAAATGCGTGTTCATCAAAAATAGAACTCATCTCTGAAGCATGGACAGTTAAAGGGAAGACCTAACGTTTCATTCACAGTGTTTGTCTAATCAACTTGGATACATGTGCGACTGATGACGTTCAAATCCAAACGATTTATATTACTGCTAGCAGAAAGACATATTTTGCTGTGTCTAATGACATCTCTCAGTACCGTAAAGTGAACGAAACTTACTGATGCAAGTTATGATACAACATTTTGTGTAAGAAAATCCTATGATGCACTTTTTGATGTAACAATTCCATTACAAATGTACGTGTGGTGACTTATAGAAACAAATTGATACACGTGTTGATGTGAAAATTCCTATAAAAAAGTACGCGAGGTGATATTAGATACACAAACTTTACTACACGTGTTGATGTAATAATTCAGTTAAGAACCACGTGTGTTGGTGTTCGATAAACACGTTTTTATACACATGCTAACGTTGAAATAACGATTAAGAAATATGTGTGGTGATTTCATAAATTTTTATTTGCAGACAGCCCACTTCACCTTGCGTGTAAGCTTGGTCATGTTGACATTGTTCTCGAATTACTGTCGTGTGGAGTAGATGTAAACAGAACTAACCAGTACGGTATGACAACAGTATGGAAAATGGCGGCCGAGGGTAAACACGACATGTTAAAACTTCTTCTACGACACCCAAATGTGGATGTCGCTTTGCCATCGGGAGATAACTGCATCCCTCAACTGTTAGTATACCTTGATGCATCAATAAGTACTGAATAATCTCATACATTTGAATACTAGCGATGTTAAATCGTGGAAATGTAGATCAGTATTGCCTACGTGTCGTGTATTACATACTAGAAACAGTAGATCTCTTGCCTAAATGTATATTGGTACACATTACAAGCTGTGATAATGTTGATACTTTCATGCGATAACACCAATGTCTCTGATGTTGTAAATCTGTTGTTTCATTCCAAAGAACACATTAAGTTTGGAATTTCGATATAATAAACGCTTTGCACTGGATATGAAGGCAAAGGAATATTCGTAATATGTATTTGGAGAAAATGAAATAAAGTTAGGAAAACTTATTTTTTCTACTTGTGTGTTGCATGAGTCTCAAGTTCAAAAACGCCACGGGATTCACAATTTGTTAAAACACTTCGTGTCTGGTTGCATTGTTCTGTACAGGGAATGTGATATTGATATTTTTTAAATATAAGATTGAGTAATTTTAGAAATGACTAATCCCACACGTTGTGCCTGGTAACATAGGTATATAACAATATTTTGTATGATAAATCAATATAAGTATTGTATACTGAAAATATGTACATGTATTATGATAGTTGAACGATCGACAAGCAGCGAAACTCACACTTAACAAAGAGAAGATTATATTTTATGTACATTATAATGTATTTAGTTAAAGTCAGTAGAATACTAAATGTACAAATTGTTATATACTACAGAAACAGCCACACCACGCCACTGATAATGGCAGCCAGAGAATCACATGACGCAGTAGCGACATTGTTATGTCAGCACCCTTCGAATGACGTCAACCGGGCGGATACACAGGGGTATGTAACTATACAATATTCCCTTCTCAGAGTACTTTGTGGTATGTTTCAGTACCACATAATTCACCACAAAATATAAAACTATGTATTCTGCCATTTAAATACCACGTACTTTTCTATATCAATATTATTACGGGGATAATATGTTTTTTATGCACATACTGGATATTAGGTCATGAATTTCGGTTTAACATAAAGCGATGATACATTTCAGAAAATCGTTATAATAACTTTCTTCAATGTGAATGCCGAACATCTGTCTCAACCGGAAAGATGTTCGCCATATTTGGGCAAGCGTCAGTATTGATGAGTATTTATAGTATCATTATCACAGATTGCGCTCTCTATCATTACCACGCATTAAAAAAAAAATACCTAGTTACTTAGATACAGACACGAAAAGTCTTACTGAAAACATTTTTGTCAAATGAACTTAAACCTATTAAGCAGTCATGGATGAAATAGGCATATTTCTATGAACATGTCCATACTTTCACAGGCGGACAGCTCTGCATTACGCCGCGTTTAACGGTAACGACCAAATGACAGCCATGTTGCTTTGGAGAGGTGCGAAAATCGACAGTGTGGACGAGGATAGGGTGACTCCTCTATACACCGCTTGTAAACACGGTCACACAGACATAGTCAAGAGGCTGCTAGTGGCAGGTAAATAATACATATTTCTGGTATAACATGGGCAATATAAAAGTAATTCACTGATTTGTTTTTATCAATACATCAAAAACAAATTATCCGGTCCTCAAGTTACCCAAACAATACTTAATACGATCAAATAACCACCCTCGATACTTCAAGGAATAAGATCACTTTCGCTCTCGAATTGCGAGGTCGCATAACGATACATGGTAATCGTTTATCAGCCTGTGATTGGTCAGTTGTTTTTTATTTCAATTTTGCCATATCATGTTCAAGGGGTGCAAAGAACGGAAGTGATTGTAACCCTTGGAGTATCGAGGATGTCAGAATAACTTGTTAAGAACCAATCGGTTATGTTGAACTCACTGCCTTAAACTGACGACATTTCTTTACGTTTACAGGTGCTGACACATCTATCGCAATACGCACTGATTCTAGCAACAACGGCTTCTCCCCGCTTCACATCGCAGTATTCCAGGGTCACATGGATGTAGTACGATTGCTGTGTGACTTTAACCCGGAAATGATTGACATGAGCACAGCCAAAGAAAAGACACCTTTAATCCTCGCTTGTTACGCTGGAAGACGGGACGTCGTGTTGTTCTTACTTCAGCGAGGTGCTAATTCTAACGTTACAGATGCCTTTCACCAGACGCCCCTTCTGTATGCACTTAGTCATGGAATACAGGCGGAGGCAAGCAAAAGTATTTTTAATGACGATAAAAACGATAAAGTGCCTAAGGATCAGATACGTTTGGATGATGTTAGTCGTAATCAGTCCCCATTCAGTTTGTATAATGAGTTTGATTTACGTGACGATATTAATAACAATGATGATATTTCTATTTTGGAACTTCTTATTCGTCATGGTGCTGATGTCAATACTTTAGACATCCATCAACGTTCTGTCGGTTTCTACAGCATAACGAAAGGAACTCTACCTCAGTGTGTTATGATGATGAAATACGGTGCTGATATACACCCTTTTGATATAGTGAGCTTCTCAAAGATGGCGAACTGTGACAAATTGAAAGCCTTAATTCAAATTGATCTGCGATTTAGAAATGTTGCCAAGATGTGTTGCAAACATCAGGACATAGAACGAACTCTTGAACGCAGTCTGGAACACGAACTGACCAATCCCCCTAGTCTAAAAGTGCAATGTCGGCATGTTATACGTAAAACATTGTTGTTGAAGCAAAATGGCGCTTTACACAAGCAAACTCAGGAACTACCTATACCCAAATTACTCAAATGGTATATTTTACTTAATGACGTATGCAATCAATTTGATGTAGCATCTAAATATACATAAACGTTTCCAAATCACATAGACGTTGCCTTATTTTTGTATCGTGTCCATTTCGACAAAAGTGGTGGTAATAAGAAAGGGACTAGATAGGAAAACTTTGATTTATCGATACAAATTTAACAGATATTTAGATTTAATTCAATATCTTGAGTCGTTAGACGGGTAGCTAATTAAGAAATCTTTACTTTTCATTGACAGTATTTGTTCTCTGATGAAGCCTCAAAAATGTCTTCATATACATATATGTCCTCCGTGGGTTCATTGTAATGTACAAAATTGTGGTTATTTTAGCAATAATGGCTGACAGTTTGGTCGTAATTTCATTAGGCCAGTAAAGACCTATGGATGTGATATATTGGAAAGTTAATTGATAATTACAGATATATTCCCACCTTTTTGTCATTTTTGCTCAAGATTTCTTTAAAAATTCAATTGAAGGAATGAACTGACGACGTGGTTTCGGTTTACCCGCTTTTTGGGCCTATTGAAATCGGCTAATGTCGTTTATGATGCCGGTAGACAGTGGTGTAGGTTACGTGTTAAGGAAATGTGTTAGGAGGTGGTTGGAAATATCATGGCGGCTGCTACTTAGCTAAGAAAGTCTTGAACCTTACGGACTTCAACAGTTGCATTTGGATTGTTTTGTCGAATCAAGTCTACATCTGTTTAATTCATGTGTGTCGAGAAAGTAGTGCTGACTGATGTCTTTGGTTCTTTTTGACGATTTAACCTTTGTTAGTTATAGAGATATTGCAAGAATAGTATGTTCAACATTATTCTAAAAAATATTCATCATCCGGAAAGGAATTGGTAGGATAAGCCTTGTTTGGCCAAATGTCATATTTTTATGATTTTTTAATCCGAATACTCCTTGGATATCTTCAATTTTTTTGAGATACGGTTGTTCAAAAGAGGTATACAACCACGTAAATATTGTAGAATTTTAGCCGGAAATTACAAATTGATGACGTCACGTCACGTAGAATTAAACATGTATGTACAACGTAACATCTCGACAAGACATTTTACTTAGAAGCTTCGTCTACACGGAAATTCCTATACATGATTGTACAAGAGACACACAAGTGAATAGCACCTTTTAATAATTTAGAATTAGATACAGTAGAACCAAACAACAGATTAAACTTCATCATACAGCTGTTTCATCCTTCTAGGACTCTTCAGTGATGCCTAGGGCCTAAATTTTTGTAGCCGAAGAAGCTACTGAGGAAAACCCAAAATGATCAAATGAAAAGTCAAAATCTAGACGGGGAGGTGCAGCAGCCCCATATCGGTTTTAATTGGAATACAGCTGAACAGATTCAGCACTCAAAGATAGCACATCGACGTAAAATTACATATTGTTTGAGCCAGTTTGATATTGGGAAAATCGGCCAATTATGACGATTTCAATTCTGTACGATCGCCGACGGTTCACGTATTGTGTTTTATAATGACAAGAGGGCGTCTTCTGATTTAGAAATCTATTTAACAACAGGATTGATAAAGTCCTTGACACCGGAGAATATGTTGTTCAAATGATTTTAATACAACAGTATATGAATAGTCAATTTGAAATGTGACAAAATGACCGATCGAGTTATAAGTATCTTAGTGATATACGGCCGACAGCTTGCGATACTGCACGGAATAAAGCAGTATTGTGGGTTACAATCCGTGACAGTTCATAGTCAGTGAAATATACTTCAAATTGGATTTTTTACCTAAAATTCATCATCAAACTCTGTGCGCATGTGTTTCTTTTAGCGAAAAAATGGACGAAAATTTATGAGTTTTTAAAGGTTTTGTTTTCTCGCGCTTTCAAACCCGTAAGTAAGAGGATAGAAGATTGTCTAGTCTATATTTCAGGTATCTAAAAAAACCTTTCTACACTGCAATTACCTTTAGAATTTGTCGATCGTATTAACACTAAAATATAACGCATGAATACGCCTTGTAAAACATTTCTTAGTTGACGACAATTGGTCCAGTTAAAATACCGCATTTGATTATATTTTGTTTTTATTGATAAGAAGAATAAGATATCACGAAAGGTAATATGACGAGGGAATCACGTAGTCAAAATCATATCTTTTGTCCATGGACAGTTACGTCTCTGTTTTCATGAATAAAAACGAGAGATTAAAAACCCTATTGCATCTTTTGTACTGCACAATGCACAGATAAATAACAGCAGTGTTTGTAAAACATTTCAGTCCGAAAAATATTATATGTGGTAAATTATCCGTAATCGACAACCGAGTCTACTTTTCTCGTGGTGAAACAGTCATGTATATGTATATATGCATACATATTGATGTACACGTGCACACTTTACCTGACAAGTTTAGCCACATTCAATTCACAGTCCTTTAAAAATGAGTAGTGTGCAAATCTCAATAGAGTTGTATACAGTACAACTGCAGTTTCGTTGCATGTAAGCGTGTAAGCATTAAGCCAATCCGAAATAAAAAAAAAATTTTCTTAAGATTTTCGTTTCATGTTTCTCCAGAAGTTTGAATTCACAGCAAAGGACATATACCTTCAACATTCGGTGCGTAAATTCCAAAAAGATTTCAACTTTTTTTTTCTTCAAGAATTGAATATGTTCAGTAATTACAGTACTGTAATTGCCATAATTACGGTATTTTCAACAGGACGGGGACTGACAGAAATTGTTCTCTTGTCATTAGGCATAGCGTACTTCAAACTGTCAGCGTATACTTTCAAATCATATAATTTTCTGTTAAACCTGTGTAACAGAAATGTTTTCAACCGGGTCACTTCTGTTAAAGAAGAATTCAATAATTTAGTTTTTAACTATATAACGATAATTTCTAATAGTGTCACTCGACCAAACTTATATTGTTGGAGATTAAGCAGAGAATATTTGATCAGGTAAAGCAATTAATCATGGCTTCATTGGAAAATTCACCGAATTGATTTATGTATAAATACCTTGTAGATCAAACTTTTACATACCAATGAACTACTGTATATGTTTGACTAGAATTCGTTCGCCATGTAATTCTCTTGCCATAGAGACAGGGAGATATAAAAAATATTCCAAGGACACGGAGGTATTGTAAAACAGTGTAACTCTGTTACTGAATTTAAGAATAAATCCCATTTTTTACTAATATATATACAATTCCAGGTCAGTCGAGCTCCTCTTATGAAGAGATATTATTTGAGAAAACCTTCAGTTTTTAAGTTAGTTAATTATTGAGTATCCACAATATTAAACAACTTTGTATGTTAGGTAAATTTATTTTTAAAGTTCTTATTATATATAGAATGTGTAACAATAGTTTTTATATTCTACATTGTATCATGTAATGTAGATGTAATATGTACGGATGGGCCTAAGGCTTAAAGTTGTAATAAAACTTGAAACAGTACAGTAACTATCATGATTAGGATACTTTTAGGTCAGGGACTTTCGGGAATTGTTAATTATCAATGTGCATAGCATACCTTTAACTTTCAATGTATGTACTTTACGTGCATATACGGTGTATATATATATATATATATATTATATATATATATGGTTCTGTTAAGTGGTTTGGGTAAATATCCTGTATAGTTACAGGAGTTATTATTGGTGAACTTCAGACTACATCTGAATATACATGTTTATGATCATTCGTACTTCGTTTAAGTAGCAGTATCTGTCGATGAGATAATTTCGTCAAGACGTTCTATATTATGGTATCGGAAGCATGGAAGTGTATATATCTTCTTGGTATCGTTTTTGTTGCAGATCTCAAACACATTTGACTCAGAAATATGACACTATCATCATCATCACACACATGAAATAGAAAAAAAATACCACGAAACGAAATAAAACAAAAAACACATAAACCAAAAGAAAAATAGATTTAAGTAAAAGATCAGTTACAAAAAAAAAAAAAAAAAACAAACAAACAAACAATTGTTTAATTAGGAAGTCATTGTCAGACAATGACATACATATATAATGTACTGTAGTACAACCCACCAGTTAGACAAGTCAGCCATTTAGCCAGTTTTATATTACATGTGTTCTGAATTATGGTTTATTTGTATCATAAAGTAATAATTGATACATTGAAATTCATCGTTTTGCATCATACATGATGTGAAAGATTAAAAAAAAAATATTACAGCCAGGTCATGTTTTTAGTACGACCCACTACTAACTGCTACATCTCCTGTTGCTAGTTGAAAAGTACAATCTACATGTTGGCAAATTGTGAAATATATTTGAGAAAGGCTAATAATACACTCTAGTATCGACATATATACGGTGTTGTGCGAGAGGCTAGGGCTGTCCACTCTACGCGACTAGTGACACTCCGTTCAGTAATATTGTGCAATATATCATCGCGAATTGTATTTGGTCTGAAGATAACACTATCATGAGCGTTCCGAAGATATCTGAAATACGACTTGGCTGGTTGAGAGGTTTTTCGCCTTCGTGACTCCTGCCGTGTCCGGGTATCGTCTCACCGACGAAGGTCAGTGTTTTGGCGTCGTTGAGATAAGACGAGATCTATGCAAACATGTATATTGTACATAAGGGTTTGTGGTCTATATACTGATATCTTTGAAATATCGCACGACAGATAATGTAATTATTGATTAGGTCACAGACGTATATGTGATATGCGTCTCTGATTAGGCATACATGACATATTTACTTCTCTATGTAAGTTACAGGTTTAAATCGCGTCGAAACCCAATCTCTCCCAGAGTGCATTGCGGTACCCCAATAACACATCAGTAAACAGCTCACGCCACTGCAAGATTCTTGAAAAACGTATTTGTGTCAAATATTAAAGTAATTTATTATTTTTCTTTGTTATTTGTATCATTATCTTGGAAAAAAGTGTTTGTTTATATAGAAAATGACTACAATTGTTCATATGGTTATAAACATTATGGAATATATCGCGGAAGATTAATTTTGAGTAAACAGCCAACAACTGTGGTTTGATATTTTGTACTATCACTTTTCATCTACCTCAGCGATCTTTGGATACATACTAATATACTGTGTTATCAGTGAAAGTTGATAGTAAATCAGCCATGATACTGGCACATAACCTCTAAAAGAGCAAATGCTGTTGTTTTTCCTACGCTGATCAATGACATAAAAACAGTCTACAGCTGTGTCCTTCGTTGGTGTTGTCGGATGCCGCCATAGTTATACCCCGACTTCAAACTTTGACCTTGACCTCGAGGTCAGCTATTGGTAGCTAGTCCGTGAGCCATTATTCTGATCTTCCAGAGTTACTGCCCTTCGTGTCGCTTTGTTTACCACATGGTTTACCGATAAACTTGACAGTCGATGGGAGCCGAGAATGAAAAGCAATTTACGTGGGCGTATTGTCACTGTTAACTCTGGTAGAAATTGGTCGAACCCATGGTTAACAAGGAGTAACCATTTTCGGGACTGTGATGTTGTTATGACGTCGATGTGAAAAAAGCGGAGGTAGTGCTCGTTTGTACGTTTTTCTTATCAGTGGCTACATGTTCCGTCAGGATTTTAATAATATAGATTCAAGAAGTTTTGTTTTCTATCTGGTGTAAATATGATGATGTAAAACACATGCACCATGTCTTTGGCGCCAATTTTCAGGCTACATGTGGATCGGGACAAATACGAAAAAAAAGCAACATCAGAAGTATTACCAAAATAATAGCTAGTCTTGTTATTTTTTCTTTTCTTTTTTTACACACTTCGTACAACGCCGATATTTAGCACCAATTTACGCTCTAACAAGTCCTTTCGGTCGAATATGTATGAGACTTTGTATGTAAAAGGATATTGATGAAATTAACCGATCATCGCTTAAAACATTAAATCTTTCAGTATTTTTGAAATATAAACTTTATCAATATTACAACAACTGCGAAACAAGTTTTTTAAAAACTTATACTAATTACTATTATCGGCCCGAATGTAATCACGCGAGGGGTCTTACTGTCGCAGAAAACTGGAGAACTCGGGGAAAACCCTCGTAGTCGTACTAATGACCCCAAATCTTTTACCGTCCGTTTCGAACGGCTAGGAGTAAGGCGAGTGAGTAGTTTCCATTTCAATAAAAATCAGAATCAATGACATTTTTTAAAGCATTTATTCTATCCCAATATATATATATATAGATATATATCTAGGAGTATGAAGAAGATATTCATTGTTTCAATTGTTTACAAAGACGTAAGTCGATTTTTTTTATAATCATTAATTATAAAAAATACAGATCACAAACTTGCACCATGAGGTTATGAATAAATTTGAATTATATACAAATACATTGGTAAGTTAATCCTTAGTAAACATCCACATACCACAATTCTACAATCTACGAAAGCACATTCTAAAATCATAGTTGTCTTGTTTATTATCAATTACTTAAGACACGACAAAAATACTATTTGAAAAAAACAAATATTTCGTGATCATGTTCATAACAGGATCTATATGCGATGTGTGTCCCTTCCTCCATATTCCAGTGGTTACGCCCATTATCGTTCTCTGCAGAGAGCGAAAGTGATCGTAACCCATGGAGTATCGAGTATGCGTTTATCCTAATACTCGCAAATGCAGATGAGAAATACTGTTACACAATGTGGTAAAGGGGTATTGGGTATATATACTGTAGGGTCGGTATATACATACTGTAGGGTCGGTATATACATACTGTAGGGTCGATATATATACAGAAGGGGTGGTATATACAACATAAAAACGTACTCTATTGTATTGATTAATGTATATATACAAAACGTACCACACAGGGATATGCTGCTGCGATAATAAGTAAACGCGCCAACGTTTTTTTACAGTTAAATAAGATTGTATATATCATTTCTGTATTCTTATTTCTAGGTATAACGTCGAAACAACATTGACCTAATGCATGCTAAATACCTGCAACAATTAAATTATAACATTATAAAACATTACGTATAATAAACAAATTAAATTTAGATAGTCTTGCAGTTTGCATTTACCCAATGAAAACTGTAACATCATGCTAATGGTTATGTTTTGTGTGAGGGGGTGTATTCATGTTATTCATGCCATATACAGACAGAATTATATTTGTATATTAAAACAGACCTGTCTACAACCCTGGGGGATGGGCTTTGTTATGTTGTGTATTTCTGCTGGCCCATGTGTAAAAGCATCCTCAATACTAAAGGGGTTACGATCACGTTCGCTCTCTGCGCCCCTGGTACATGTCATGGAAAATTGAAGACATCAGCAAAGTAATTTGATTGGTCCCAGGAGAAGAGAAAACTGACCAATCACTGGTTGATACGCTGTTTTTGAAGTTTACAAAGGAGCAACACCCAACTTCTAAGTCATTACAATATACCGGTATGCAATCCCGAAATTCGTTTGATGTACATCAGAATCGAGCTAGTATTTTCGTCTTGTCCACAAGGTGTCATACATGGAACTTTCAGTTTTTCCATGACATGCTCCATGGGTTCAGAAGACGACAGTGATTGTAACTCCCTTGAGGATCGAGGATGGTTTAAAAAGTGCACTGTTGGTGCTTTTCAGAGAATTACGGTATTTCTTGCACTAGCTATCACTTTGGCCACGTGGTAATACAAACAATATTAAAATCTCCTCATAAAAGGACACGTGACATTCTTGTTTTACAAGAGCTATTGACAGTTAGTGTTTAACTTCACACGATGTCACTGCACAGCACCTGTTTCCAGGAGATCGTTGATAGTTCAGCTCTCGTTTCGAAGTGACCTCTACTTAAATATGTGCGATAACCTACAAAAACAGAGGAGAGAGATTATAGCGGAATCCGGATCACGGTGTACACACATACACACATGGGAGTTTCACAGTTACCAATTGTTTTTTCACTCACTAGAAAATTTCTACACGAAATCAAAGCGTAGCCAATACATATTAAACACTGATTAATTGCGTTATCATAAAGTACTTTGTCTAATTAAGAGTTTTTTTAAATGTCATGTTTTCTTACTTCTTTTTCGAAACATGATTTAACTTAAATTGAAACACATGATAATCAAATCAAATACATACACGAAATAAATCATACTTATAAATTTCATACCCCAAATATTTCGTAAATATGAAAAAGATTTAAGAAATCTTGATCGATAAAGCAGCTCTAAAACATACAATATCAGATATAGATTAATTAAAATAAACTTGTTTTTTAGTATAATATTTGATTAAGATTACAGAACAAAATGAAAGCAGAAAATTAAATGATAAAAAGTAGGAAACCTGAAATTAAAATAAAACGCAGTTAAAGAACCTGTTTGCAAAGCATGTTATCAAAATGCAATGTCGTGTATATTAGTACCTGTATTAAAGATAAAATTTTGCTTAATTCAGTTAACAGATGATCATGTCACATGCCAATGCCCATACCGTTTCATAGAGCAAAATGATACCAGTGAATCAGGAAAAAAGAGTGTTAAATGGTTAATATACAGATCTACGTTAGCTTTTAGACTACACACTAAACGCACATAACAGTGGAGTTTGAGGGTCGGGAATTGGTATTTCGTGACATATAAATAAAGTTGGCTCTTATAAGTTGAGATAACTTGTGCCCAATCCATTTGCTTTCGGCAATAAAGTATGTTTAAACTAATAGAGTAACAATATTGTTTCAAATCTAATTTTAAACTAGTATCTTCAATTAAATGATTGCATTTTGATAAAAAATAATGAAATAAAGAAAATTAAGAATGCGTTGAGGAGAAGAGAGCGAGAATAGAGCAAGAAAGAAAAAATCTATTGGGAATAACGTTATGCATTAGAACTAATAACAGTGTATAGAGGAAACAGTAGTTATAACAAGATACTAATTATAGTTAAATATCTTCAGGTTTCGATTTCTCTGATTTTAGAAACTTATCAACGCTCGTGTCATATTTTGAAAAAAAATTGATAATGCAATACCGTTGCAAAATCTCCGCTAATTATGCAAAACTCGCGCCCAATCGCTCGCGACAAAATGTCGCTAAGATCAGAGATGTTGAATACCATAGACTTGATTTATCAATAGACTTAAAACATGAAAGAAGAAATATGCAGATTTGTTAAAAAAGCAGATGTTACAAGGTGAACTGGGATAGCGGTCACTACAGGAGATAGCTAACGTCACAAAGAGACAGACTAGCTGACGTCATTTCTACACGATGACGTCACTCCTGGAACTCACTATCTCGGCTGACCAGCAAGTAACCTGTCTTCTGGTTTCGAGTCGATTTCTTCAACAGCACTATCCGATTCAGCTTCCTGAAAAGCAGCACATGCATTCTTGTTCTCTTAAAACATGCGTTTGTTTAGTACGAATTGTTGTCACAGATGATACAATATGTTTGATAATTGATTATTGATAATGTTCTGTCACCAATATGCTATGTAAAAGGCATGCTTTTCTTTCACCATGAATAACAGGTCATCCTGTCCGTATATTGGCATAGGCATAAGTAATGCATGGTTGGTTCTATACATCATTTGCATATCTCCCTGCATATATTATGTAATTCTAATGTCAGTACAAATGTCATATACCAGACAAACAAAGATTAGTAAATGTTCATTGTGTGAGTTGAGGTTTACTTTGACAGATTTCCGAGCCTAGACGTTGGTACTATATTCTACCGCCACCTTAGCTGCGTCATCACATGCGATATAAGTTAGAATTTTTAAATCTATTGGTCTAAGTTCGTTCATGAAACAACAACTACAAGAACTATAATGATTATGACTGACACTCATGACCAAACGTGTTTTTGAGACTTCCTCCTGTCTGAAATTGAAAGTTTCGCATATAGTACAACACAATACAGCTGCAGCAATAAAAATAACTTGGGTAAATATGTTCCCTGATTTTTGTTTCCTGGATTACTTCCCCTGAATTCAATGCAGCACGCAATTCACCGTTAAGTCAGCAGTACCTACCTCCTCGCTAAAAGTTTCCCCTTCTGCAATAGCTACAATGACGGCGTCGTTAACAGACATATATACGTTTTTCTCGTACTTCTCCAGGAACCCCGTCGTTTTTAACACCGACCATACATCATCTGGGAAATGAAGATTGCGACAAACATGACAACACTAATATGTATGAATGTTCTATTGTTGTATACAACAAACATCCGTATTTTGATGGCTCTTTTGTTTCAGAACGATAAACTAAAATATGACTATCACATCTCATTGATGACTTTCAAGATACAACTATTATCATTAGAAAACTATCTGGTAACTGACCAACAGTTTTGGATATGTGCTTGGCTATCGGGGAAATAAGTTTACATAATCTGACAGTTGGTTTAAATTTCTTTGCTTTTTCATGATGATTGGTCAAATTACATGTAGGCTAGACTACATATTAAACAGCGAGGACGTGTGTGCACGATCTTATTTATTTCTATATCTACAGTATTACCTACCGCTGACACAAGCTAGGAATACTTTGACACCTATGGTCCTATAATCATTGAAGAGCTGAAAAAAGATAAAATACGTACATTTATACTATTGTCATAAAACTGTTACTTCTTTGGATTACAGTCATCATAAAACTGTTGCATTGAGTGTAATGGTCAGGATGATCGATGTAAATTACCTTACAGGAAATCCAATCCAATGGTGTAAAAAAAAAATAAAACCCCCCCCCCCCCCAAAAAAAAAAAAAAAAAAAAAAAAAAAAAAAAAAAAAAAAAAAAAAAAAAAAAAAAAAAAAACAAAAAAAAAAAAAAAAAAAATCATTTTTTATGTGTCGGTTTACGAAAAGACAGGAGCTTATTGAATCAAGATTTTCAATTGATAATATCGTCACCGAAATCTTGTCAAACTCAAAAGGAAAGAAGAATTAAAAACAAATAGAATTAAACTGGGTAGTTCATAGCAGAGTTAATAGAGTAACCGTTTTTATATACCTGGTTAAGAACTTTACACCCGACTGAATCCACAAAGCATACAGAAGAAAAGTCTAGGACGATGTGATGTACCAAGGCTCCCGGGTTACCGTTTTTATCTTTGTCGTTAGTGCCATTGCCGTTGGCCATCCCGTCATATGGCTGGTCAGATACGATGTTGTTGCTGGTCATTTGTATACGACTGCTCTGTAACGTCAAGAAGAAATCTGAATAGAAGTCCACGACCATTTACAAAACATCTCTCGAAAACATGGTGAATCATCCTCGATACTCCATGTGCTATGATCACTTTCATTCTCCGTACCCCTGGAATGCGTCGTGGCAAAATCAAAGACACAAGCGAAGTAATTTGAATGATTTCAGAAGAAAAAGACCAATCACAGGCTGGTATGGTCTTTTTGAAGAGAAGCAACATCCAACGTCAAATCCATTACAATACACAGTTATGCACCATTGAGATTAATTTGATGTACATCAAAGACTTAAACTAGTCATTTCGTCTTGTCCACAAGGTACCGCACATATAACCTTCAATTTTGTCATCACATGTTCCAGAGGTGTAGACAGCGAATGTGATCGGAACCCCTGGAGTATCCAGGATGATAGTGTATTGAAATGAATTAACAGACTTAACGACTCATAATTTATGTTGGAACAAAAACATGATTTCCGCGACTTATTAATAAGAACAGTGTTATTTTCCTGCTCAAAAACAGAATTAGTGACGTGAGAAGGAAAGGTTATTTTCGAACTCTTTCAACACAAGCATGGGTGCATGAACATGTCTGTACAATGGTGTCAGTACTGTTAGTATTCAAATATAAGCAGAAATGACGAATGATACTTACATGTCTTCTAAATTCCGCAACAGAACCAAATCGTTTTATTTCTTTTCGAACTCTCTGTGGTTTCATACCAGAAATTGTGAAAACCTGGCGGAGGAATATATCTCCGTTGGCGTAGTAGAGTGGGGAGTTGAAGGAGATGACTCGAACTCCAGGGTTGTGCCGTGTCTGATGAATGGATAATTATAAAAAGTTAAAATGGTTGTTCACTTATAGTCTATGTTCTGTCTTATTTCGTCGAAATATTTTCGTATTAAATTAAAATTAAATTTATTTTATATTTATCGGGTTTAACGTCCTTTTCCGACCATGTAACCTTTCAGCGGACGAGATTTTGTTTAATATCACGCGTCTCTATATATACAAATATTTTCTGTTAGAGTTTAATTGGTAATTGATACATACTTCTTATGATGTAAAAGTTATCTTTCTTGGAAGGTGTAGTGATATAAAATATCAACAGATTTTTACACTATAAGTTGTTTTACATGAATATTTACCTTCATATATTTCTTATCATCAGCATATATGTCTACATCTGATATCCGTTGAAGTGTGACGGCTTTGGCCCTGAAGACAATATGAGGTATTAGCAAGATTATAAAAGTACAAGTCGAGTAGAATGGAAGACAAAGTGTTATAGCAACATAAATTTTGTTTTTCTATTCATAATTATATATTAAGTAATTATAACGAAATATTTAAGAATGTCCTGTAATGTTTACAACACATGCATAAAGGAAAAGGTCCCTTCAAAATATCATCCCTCGCACGTGGAATAAAATTGAAACTTACTACTGTTATATGCTATCGTTAACCTAAAACCTGTAATAGTATACAAGTACGGCAGTGAGTGAAGCTGTAAAAACTCGTGTGTTCGACTAACATTGGATCTCGTGCTAAGATCAAACAGTGGCAGAGCTGACCATGTGTATCTCGGTATTTACGGAACTTTAGCATAGTATAGGGGTATACTGCTAGGAAGGCCAATTTCACTACACTGCTTTAGTAAAATCTGATAATTTCTTCTAGTGTAAACATACGTTTTCAACATTAAAAAATCTATTATTCAGAATTACCTTTGTGTACGCAGTACAACAGTGAAGAATGAGAAGACAAGCCCAATCCAAAGTCCTAAGTCCACATAAAGGATGACCACAGCCAGGAATGTCACAATCCAGATCATCTACAAGTAATTAATCCACAATAGTTAGTTTTGATATATCCTTCGTTTGAGTGATCCATCTAATGCATGCAGTATAACATTATAAATTCATGTTCAAGATTCATAATTCATTTACGGTGTTTTTAGAGCGATATTACTTACACAATCGAATCCAGAAACTTTCCAAAGCTTCTTGAGTTCAAAGACCTGTAGGAACATGCTCCTTAAGGCAACGACGATGATTGAAGACAATACACACTGCAATGTACAAGAATAAATACAATGGATAACATTTAATAAAAAGTCATAATAATATAATTCACAATATCAAATACAATGTAAAACATTACATACAAAATCACAATAATAAAAAGTACAATACTTTAATACACTATATTAAACACAATGAACAGCATTAAATTGACTATACAAAATTATATGAAATGTACCTTGCGCACAATAGACAACGTTTACCACAGTGTACACCACTACCTACAATTAACTACGTTGCACTTAAACTTCTGACTTTTGGAAAAGATAGTTTGTAAAATCATAATGACTAGAAAACATTTTAATGCGACTTCACATCAAAACAGTTTGGAAGTGTATGGAAGTGGTATTCCCAATGGTTATACTTACGTTAGGCAGAGATTCAAACAGAGGTCCGATGATAAGGATGACAACGAGAACGAGAGCAGCCGAAAACAAACTCGTTATCTAACAGAGAATAAATATCTGTCATTTAATGAACGTAAAACTCTGAAGTGTAAGATAAACAACTTCACATCATGTCTAGACAATTTGATTTCTGTTTTGCAAACCCTAGGTGATTTACAGGCGAATATTTTGTAGCCCGGAACTATTTTGAACAACTTTGAAGACATGACATCTTAACGTTACCAAAGTTATATTTAACTCATATACAACTGCCAACTGAATGAATAAGAGGAACATTGATCCCTCCTTTATTTTTTTAAAGTTACAAAATATGTACCAGCCAGTATGGATTCATTTGAAATCACCACACATATTCATAGCATAACAATACTGTATCAAAGTAAGCTTCCCAAATGTATTGAATATGTCGAAAACTTTGGTATAAAAGGACGAAAACCGAACATGAGGGATATGACATCAATACTAAAAAGCATTAAAAATATTTCCTACCTGAGATTTTCCTCCTGCCGAATCTTGCACAGAACTACGTGAAACAGAGGCGGCGAATGGGTAACAGGAGAAAAAGGAACCAAAGATATTACCAAAACCGTACGCTATAAACTCCTGCAAACACATAAAAATATTTGATTTTCTGTTGTTGTCACGAAATGTTTGTCGTGCTAAAATTTAACTTATAAAACATATAAATCTAGAGTAAGTTTGATATGATTGGTTAACCCACAATGGTATCCTTGTCGCCTTTATATACATAATGATACAGAAATATGTGATACCTGTGCCTAAATGTAGGCAAACCTACCTGATTAGAGTCTATTATATAACCGTGTTTTTTAGCCATTAGAGCTGCCAGTGATACAGACTGGGCGAACGCTACTACTGCTACAATGATGGCATCGCTGAAATAATCCCCCATTTTGGTAAACGTGGGCAGCATTGGGTCTGGCAAACTGCAAAAATAACATGTATAGATTATGAATCAAACAAAATTAAAAAAAAAAAAAAAAACTAATTATAATCAACTTCCGCGCTCATTTATCACACCATGTGTTGAATGTCTCCTGATAGATACTGGCATTTTTTGCTTATTTCAAGTGGCAAAATAATAATAGGTTTTTGTAATGTGTTTATGTTACGATGAAACCCAATTAGCATACTGTTAAATAACATTGTGTTACATGGACATTAATATACTATTTTAATTCTTTTTATGTGTACTTGTTTGTGTGGTAAAGTGACTGTGTATATGTTAGTAAGTGTTAGATAGAGCAGGTTTTCTTGTAATACAGATACAATTAACGTTCATCCCACTCATACTAACCTTGAAAGAGGGACTGAAACTCATACTTTCACTATAGGTTACTGTATACCGAGACATTTTCGCCCCATGTTATCTTAGTTCTTGAACCATTATATATGAGTTTGTCTCATGTTCTTTTCGCCCAATGAGAATTATATAGAATGGTTATATAAGTGTCACAAATTTTCGTCGCCACCTTGAATTCGTCCTCCCTGGTAATGGTCGAAAAGAGCGAAAATTAAACGGGACGAAGATTTCTCGGTATGCAATATTGTTTATATCACTTAATATTTGTTTATTATAATATTTTGTTAATTAATTATCTCCATGCAAAAATAACACCCCACATAAAAAACTTATCGGGCATAGACAATTGACAGATACTCTTTCATTTGCCAACATTGCCGTTTTTTGTCCAAAGTATTTTTTAAAGGAAACAAAATCAGTTAATATCACAAATGCAATTCGCATCGTCTGTAAGAGAAATAATTTATTCGAATAAGCCTCGTTCAGTTGGAAATTCATGATTGTACAAAGGACACGCAAGTGAATAGTACCTTCCATTTAATTTAAGAGTTGGATGCAGTAATGCCAATAAACATGAACTACGTTAGAAGTATTATCAAGCCAAATTTCCCTACAAACACTTTAAAATCGATTTCATGGATGTTTTTGATCCTACGGATAAATTCATTTTATGAATAAAAGACAGATGTTGCATAAGATAAAATTATTGATTTATTTTAACATACTTATAATGGGAATGTCGATATGTTGTGTTTCTGTCCGTTACTTTGTATATGAATGGAACATTAGTGTTGTGATCTAACGCTGATCAAGCACAAACGATCAGCAAATACACGAAAAGAATAGGCTAGCAAATGAAGAATGAAAATCCGACAGACGATTCGAATATTGAATAAGATAAGAAGCATATCGGTTACAAAACCAGATACAACAACTTAAAACAAATTAGAGTTTAAATGCACGACAAGTTAAAATGTATGTCACATCGCCTGCTTTTGGGTCAGTGATACATATGTGATGAACCACACATGTGTTTCTAACGGTCATGTGTCTGTTTCACTTCCTATATAATTTTCCCTCATGGTTTTGTGAGATTTTCTTACATTTCCTTAGACAAATTCGCAACTAATATTTTATGGCTTCTATTTCTCAAACTAAATTATATATTCAGAGATTTTATACCTGTGATAACATTACCAATATTGTTTGATTTTATGATTAAAAAAGGTTACTATATTGCAGTAAAATTTTAAAATTACAAGACAATGCAAACATCTAACTAGTCGTGTTTTAATAACTCTTAACATGTCATGAAATGTAAACCAGATACAATGACGTCCCATTTTTGTAGTATCTTGTATTACTCACAGATATATTCTGTAATGAACAACAGTTACAGAAAACAATTAATACATTCAGCAGTTTGTGTGTCATTCTAATTATCGAGCACTAATTGATAAGTAATAAGTCAATCAATGTAATTACCAGTAAAATGTTCGTGAATGAGGTGATGTTGTGTTATGCATGTGATGTTCATCAGTGATACAATGTTAAATTATTCATGTCATTTTCAATGATTTCTTCTTTAGTGACGTCATGTTTAAATATATTCATATATATATTGATAAATACTTGAATAGAACATTCACAAAACTTTCATACATCGTCATCAAGTATATTACAATATATACAAGATATAAACAATACTTACCCGGCAGGGATCTCTCCGACTACTTTCATTTCGTATTTGACCTTGAATTTGAGAAAATGTGAAACAAGCGTACCGGCAATTACCTGAAAAGTCAAGATTTGAGGTTCATCATACTGGACAGAGATGAGAAGCTTTTTGAACTATGATAGAAATATACCCATTAAATTAACTTTTTGTTACTCGCTTTAGTACCATTGAGTTTCCACAGTGATTATTGGATAACATTTTTAGCATCGTTCAGGATTAAGGATAACAATTTCTTAAACTGATACATTCCCATGGTTGATATTCTTACTTATTGTTGTCGGATAACAAACTTAAATAAAAATTATTTTATTTCAGAACAACCATCTTTAAATGTGTTATATAAAGTTATGCATAACTGTATCTAGATAAAAACTGTACATTACTACTTACCACAATTAACTCAATTGGCAGGGGTATCTTGAGTTTATCCTTGAATCTTTGGTTGATCTGAACTTTGACTAGATAAATCACCACTATACACACTGCAGACGTTACAATGGTTGCCAGCTGTGTCTCGTGGATACTGCTAAATATGGCTTTATATGTCTGAAAAAGTACAACTTAAGACATATACATATTTTTCAAATTACATCATAACGATTTTGATAGAATTTATTTTATGAACATGCTTCCTTATTCCAGAGGAAAACCGTATCGCCTTCTTTGTAAGGCAAAATGGGGAGAAACTCTGTTTATCCAGCCAACACACTATATTTCTATCGTTACTCGACTTAATCACGTTGAATAAATAATGTAATGCAGTTATTTTTTATTTGAAATAATATCGTGTTTATTGATTATGTGCTGTAACTTACGTATACAATCTGGAACAGATTTCCAAATCGTGGAATGTCCAATCCAAAGATGTACTTGACTTGACTAGTGAAGACGTGCACGGCCGCCCCAGTGGTGAACCCACTCACAAGAGGGTCAGACATGTAGGTTGTAACGAAGCCCAGTCGACATGCCCCAAATATCACCTGATGAACAAAGATCAAATCATACATGCTGGCACGTAGGAGTGTTTAATTAAATCGTAAAGCAATTTTGTACGACACAACTAACACAAATATCAATGGAAAGCATTCTAAAGTCCCCGGTAATCTGTTGTAATGATACAAGCTTGAGAGCATCTGCAGAACAACATGCATGTTCTATTCCCTCAAGTTTAGAGACGATCATCACGTATGACCTCCCATCCGGAGCCCGGACAAGGGACATGTATAATTTTATCTGGAGACAGAACACATAACTGACCTGAAATGTCCCCACCAGGAAACGGATTTATCGGTATGATCCCCACCTGAAGACAGAACATGCGTACTTCCCCGTATGATCCCCATCAGGAGACATAACACGTGACTAACCTGTATGTTTCCCATCAGGAGACATAACACGTGACTCTCCTGTATGTTTCCCATCAAGAGACATAACACGTGACTAACCTGTATGTTTCCCATCAAGAGATATAACACGTGACTTACCTGTATGATCCCAACCAGGATACTAAATGAGGACACTATAGCTATCTTCTGCATGTCTATATCGTGTCTAGACAACAAGTGTTCTGGGGGTGCACCGGGTGTCGTCGTTGACATATTCGTGCTTATGTTGCCGAAGAACGTTTCTGTTCCATTAACTGACCATCCTCCCGGTACCTCCTCCGTATATTGGGGTCCAAGTCTAGCCAAAACTGACCCAGTCATCAAACTGACAACAGCAACCGTTCCTGCAGGAACACACAAACGTTGCAAGTAGATTTTACACAAAACATAATTCTTAATTGTGTTTTAATCAATTATGAGAAACGACAGTACCTGCTAATTTCACCAAGCGATATTAAGTCCTTACAATTTGGGGAATAAATCCTGATAAGTAATAAGCCAATATGGAAATATTATCTAAATGTCTTTCACTTTCTTCCTTTCTTATTTGTTATGAGGTTAGTTGGAAGAGATACAGTCCCATTATGTAGGACGGTAAAGATAATTCAAAATAGAGAGTAGTTCCCTGCTTACAAAAGATAAAACATAAGATATATCAGTCTCTCGAGTGCTATATGATACAATCAAAGATTATAAAAATAGATTTGAGATTATGGGGATATTTGTGTACAATTTGCTACAGATAAAAGTGCATTTCAATCTGTTCAATTGCCTGTCTTCCATATGTAATTGTTGTGACAAAATATGACGACTTCCTTACACAGATTCCAGCTGTTATCTAAGGGTTCCTTTGTATATATCAATTAAAATGTGTCAACTGGTACGTCAATACATCACTGAGACATTTAAGTACTCAGTAAGTATTTAACGTATATTTAATTCCTTTTTGATGGTAATCGGAATTCGATTGAGCAAACGAACAGCGATCATATGGCAGGAAGAAATTACATAAAGAAACTTTGTGTGTTTATTTATTTTTGCTTGAAGACAGATATTCATAATTTGAGAGGTTAGGTGAATACATTCTACAGTAATAGATTGGTATATTTTATTCCTGATTCTATTGTCTTCAAATCTAATTCTATACCACGTTAACATTGCTTGTCGCAGTTAATTCGATAGTCAAGAACCCCCTTATCATCACGATTTTTGTGCAATAATCATGAGACATTTCCGGAACACCTGGTCTTATTATCCTTGAACTCTTTCGGAAGTCTCCGTGTAAATCTTTTTTGTTCATATTTTGCCCAAGTTTGATCGAATTTGAGTTAGGATTATGACTCATTTTTGTTCACGATTTTGTTCAGGTGACACTACAGTCTGGGATTAGCATTTGGACAGCACCATTCTTACCCATTGATATATGTTTCGATGTTCCGAAGAAGAAATAGACGATGACAGGAAAGAAAGACATGTAGAGGCCCACGACAGGGGGCAAGTCCGCCAACATAGAGTAGGCCATACCTGTACGGGATAGAATTAATTATGTTAGAATTCAAAAGATATAAGGAAAGTTAGATAAACATCTTCAAACATTAAACATAGATATTAACAAGTTCTGTTTGCATCTTGATAAATTTAATACTTCATAGTTGAATTCTGTTCATAACATTATGTTTCGATATTATTTGTTATATTCTATCACTGCGTATTCCGAAGAAATGACATATTGAACAGTGTTGTTAAACACAAAACATAGGAGAAAATATGGAGACGGAAAGCGGAGATCGACATTAATCAGTTTATAAATGCTATATAGATATATGACTACACCGTTAGTAACACTAAAAATCCTTACTTTGGGGGAGCTGCATGATGCCGACGGTGAAACCAGCGATGATATCACTCGGTAGATCTAATTTCCAATTATATTTTTGGTACATCTTGATGAAAGGGAAGAGTTTATAAAGAAATTTTTTTCGCCTCTCTTTGGTGCACGCACACATACTAGATACCTCCTCTTTGCACTGCTGCATGACTGATGAAGGTTCACTATCCGGTTGTTTGAAGTCTTTATAGAATGAGGAAGTCCTATATAACCTTTGTTTTATGTTCACATACGGATCCTTTTCAGGATCAACCGTTATTGGGGGACTGGTGCAGTCAACATCCATGACCACGTGATAGGTTGGAACCGATGTGTTATCCATTTTAGATCTATAATGTTTGTATTGCGAACGTCAGCTTCTGAAACACAAAGTCTTTCAGTAAAGATTTGTATATCAATAATTTCATTGATCTTAATTCAGCCTTTGAAAACCGAAAAAGAAATGAAGTGAATGATCTAATGATAAACTTTCATGTTACTGTGAATGATTTTTTATGTTAATATGATTCAAGATTTATTAGAAAAACATTGTCGTTATATAAGACCAAGGTGTCTTGATTCATAATCTAGAAAGTTTAAGTGTGATGCCTTGTCTGTGTTGGCGTTGATGTTAAATATATTATGGGTGATCTATTTCAAGATCTATAAACATGTTTATGCCATTATGGCAATTTCACATGGAAATTCATATTATTGCTTTTAGGGATATACCGTATCATAAAAGATCAAGATAATATTAAAATTTGTCAACAGATGTTACTATAATTGTATTCTTGCGTTTGCATTCCACCTCAGTTAATCGAATGTTTATTGTATAGAGTTTGTATTACACTTTGTATTTTGTCTCCATATTATAACACAACGCACAATATAATTGTGTCAATATAATTGTCCAAAAACAACAGGAACATGAAAATGAATACATTATCATAACTAAATATATCACTGGAGATTTTTTGGATATCTCCATAATAATATACAAAAACATGGACTTTGTTTAATTGTTGTTACATGTAAAGCATTTACTTTAGTTACCGAGAATATTCAATGTTTGTCTGTTAATGTCAAATAAACTTCACAAATGCGTCAGACTATCAGTGTCGTGTTCAATTTTATGTCATATTTTAGAATTAGTACACTTCATATAATTATGTTGATTTCTGTGTTTTCTATATTATTGGTATCTTTGTTATGCAGTTATTTAAAAACGTGGTATATGCAACTTTGTCATATATAATATTCACCTACTATATCCTAGCTGGAACACCAGAGAAAATCAATTTCAACGTGACCAATGGGTTTATTATCCTATAAGTTGTGTCATACATTTTATAACATTGATAACCCTAACCGGTACTAGAATGGTAATCATGTTGAATCTACTTGATAAGGTATCCTATCAAATTATTAGGAGAGGCAAGAATCTATCTAATGCGGTGATTCTGTGCCATTTTTGCAAACGGTTGATAGGTTTCACGATTCAAGGTTCTTTGTTTAAATTGATATAATTAATCAAACGAGAAAAGCATGACAAGCACTAAACAACACAATAAATATATGTGAGATTTCATTCCTGATGAAGTTGTCATTTCGTTGGTAATTTATAAACAAACGGACCAATTAAAGTTAGAGCCACCATATATGTCAGAAATGGACAGGAAGTGTTCATATAATGGAACTGGAAATGTGACAATGGTACAATAAATGAATGGTTTGTGGAAATGTGTAAAAGAGGACAATGGGGCCTGCAACGTTTAGAAATATGTTAAAAGGACATTATCAATCACAAATTAAGTAAGAAAAAGCTGAAGAATGGATTGAAAGTAACATCAGTCTAGTCCAATCTGAAATAGATAATCACAATATTCCTCCATTAGATTTTGAATTAACATTAAAATGCATGTTACCTAAAATTCTAATCCTATAGTGTGGTATCCTTTCATATAGACAAAATATATATAACAACTATGAAATAATTTTATTCCAGGAATAATCCGATCCGACATTTCGACATAAACGATCAAGATGATATAGCAGGCAGGATGCAGTTGTTGCTGTCAAATCACTAGAATGAGCACTGTGACTATTGTATATATGTTACATCAGATACAGGGACAATTAATTGATGAAACTTGGGGGCTCCGTATTATCAGCACGTTATTGGCCGTATGTCAAGGTTATACAAAATTATATATTTCAGAATGTAATCGATTTGATATACCTAGGCTTTAGCGCGACATGATCTTTGTTCCCTAATGTTGTGTCGCTGCAGGTCACTTATTTCAAATCTATGCCAGTTTTTTATTAGCTTATTTTTACGTATCAGGTCATAAAATTTCAATATAAGGCTAACGTTGGATGTTTCATAAGCTTGAAACGACTCTCGCATAACTGGTTCTTATGAAGAAGATGTTCAAATACAAAATACCGGCGACAGTTTAACGCCTCATTATCATGGGCATCCATACGATAGTCCTGAGATCTTGAAAAAACCCATTAAGTACATAGCTAATATGTATTCATTAAACAGGGTTTTTTCTGTTTTGCACCATTATGTATATGTACATTTTCCCTAGCACGATTTCTAATGGTCTTCAAATTATGTATAAGCAAATCATAGCTTATATTCTTATCGCCTAAGATATTATGGGCCTTGTAGTTTTGTGGCTTGTGGTTAAGTTGTTACCATAACAACAAAATAAACACGAATAAATCAACAAACGTTGACGCTAGCAGTGTCAGTCAGATTTCCGGTTTCTGACCAGAGAAACAATTAGTGTCTATCTGCGGACCACCGACTGAATGGTCGATCACTCTTGCATATGTTTCATAGCGACAGGTACAAGGTTTAACGTCAGGGGGCTGAAATCGGATACCTTGACCCAACGTTTCAGTGTGTAACGTTGCGTACTTTTACAAGACACAACTTTGGGAGAGAAAACGTCAGACTCAGATGTGAAAAATAAGTGTGAAAAGGGCTAGCGGGCCGTCTAAACAATCCGTCAAAATAATGCCTAAGCTTGATGTAAATAAGATCAATGTGATGATGTTTGATGGAAAAAGTTAAAATGTTTATTGACTATTTCATGCCTTCTAAGGTAATGGCGTGTTTGGTGTGAGGAAATTGTAGATTTCATCACTCGACAGGCTCCCTACTCCTACCTTTCCCGTTGCATGTCCTTCAATATTTTGATATCATTCGCCGGGAGAGATATGTTCCCTAAAGATATTTACTAATAGATTTAACTTGACTGAATATGTATTGTTATTGAGGTCACAGTTGTATTTGAGAATATCAGAACCACATTTTGATGATGCATCCTCTACACTAAAAAACTTACTTATAATTTCATTATTTGGTGTTTCTTCCTTCCATACAATGTTAGTATCCCTAAGGTGCATTTGTAATACGGAATAAGCTTGCGGCTGTTTATATTTTAGCGTTAGTGATGTAACAAGAGAACACTGTTTGTTAAAACAATTGATACATACAGTAACACTATAGGGACAATTTTGTATACATATCATTTATCATTCTATTATACATGGCTACCAAATACACAGCATTCTGTACATCTGATGCTCTTAACGAGATGTCATACGAACACGGATACGATAGCCTTTTGATGTCCATGTTTATTGTTGTTAGACGTAAAGGATGATTAACTTTTAAAAAATATTCTTATGTAACTTGGTGCAATAAAAATATTTCATTACTGAAATGACGTCTGAAATATACTTGGATAAAACATACATTTGATTCCTTAAATTAGAATTTAACAAGCCTGCATGTTACATTATGGATTGACAACTCACACACAAAAACAACATAATGTCATGATTACCTAAAACATTAAACCATTTACAACATCAAATATTTACAATAAGTATAATTTCAGTACATATTTAGTATAAACACGATCTTTGTAATATTTTGATATTTTGATTTCGTTGGAAAGAAAAAAGTTTTACACAGATCACGTTTGTAAAGACGTAAACAGTAAAACAGCAAGTAACCTGATCGATATTGGCAACATCTGTGTAACAGAAGTTTACATATACCTAGCCCGTATAGACATTAGATAGTAAACACCATACACACGTAATAACATCACAACACGGATACAACAGCTATCTGTTAGATATTTAATGGAGAATCATTGGGCAGTAGAAAAGAAACATTCATGGAAAACAAAACGTGACGTTAGTTCATTAATAATATCAAGAGTAGGAGGTTAAAAAATGATATTAAAATAAGTCGTATAAGGTTTTATTTGATGTTCGTCTGAATTTTACAGATATACAGAAATACAAAATTTATAGAATTATGGAGCTAGTGCACCTCTCCATCTAAAATTTGGCATTTTTCTGATTACACTTCATATCCCTCATCCACCTAATAGGTTTCAAACCTTAGGCTGTCACTGCCGACTTCTTGAAGGACGAAACAGCTGTATGATGCTTGACTCTACTGTTTCTTATTAATTAATTTTGTTTTCAGAAATCTTCGCAATAAACAAATAAAAATCTTATAGAAATAAAATGAATTAAATGAGTAAAATCTACCATAACAAAGGAAGTTTACAAACCTCTCATCAATGTTCATCTCATTTTTTGTGTGTTTCGCTATGATAAATGCTTAGAAGGGATAACTTTTGTAACAGAGATCATGATCGACCATGTCAAACTTTCGACTATACTGTTATCACTTCAATAATATATTTATCTTTATATCATTTTATCAGAGTACTGGTCCAAAACTGTATGGCTCGTTTACAGTAAAGTGTGTAAGTTAAGATATAGATATTTAGAGAATTTTGATTTTGAAGTAATTGATAGTTCATGTCTGATAGTCCTTCATAGCTAATGATATATCAAAGACTCCCTGTCAATCAAAATATTCTGTCATTCATATCCTTTTCACGTTGTAATGACCCCATTTCTCCCTTTGTGATGGCACGAGTTATATCGAATATGCGTGTGCCCGCGGCTTGCAGTCTGTGCACTTATAAGTACATTATATTCAATTAAGCTAACCATTTAGGCCTTAAGGTCATCCTGGCTGTGATACGTTTAATTTCTACTTATATGACTACTTGAAATAATACTGAAACACACAATTTCTTGTTTAAATAAAAACGCGAGAGGAAAAATGGTGCTAGTATAATTATATAATTAAATATTGAACATTTTTAGCTTTACATAAAAACACGCAGTATTGATATCCTGCAGTGTGAAAGCAAAATATCTACATCGTTGGCGGATCAAGAAGGATTGCCTATTTATAATGTAAAGATGACAATGCGTTATTTGAAAAGGAAACAAACGTTTTATACATTTGCCTTTACGAATAAATGCTATTGTTTTACTTATGATGCGTTGATTTGTATTTATCAAATTTCAGGTAACAAGATTAGAGAGCAAATGTCAAAACAAAGCTAGCGCCATATGTGGCCACGTATTCAAATCAATAGTAAGAATTCAACCTACCTTAAGGACCTACTGGAAGTGTCCTATATTCCGTTGCACAAGTAAATGTTTTAAAGTTATATTTCAACATAAAGTCTCCAGGCAAGTGACCAGGTTGGAATACGAACTTCCATAGTATAATAAAATTACCCCGTTCGAATATATCTAGTGTTGCAGTCCATGTTTAGATAGTGTGTAATGCTGCTTGGCAAAAATATCAAGCCTGCGTGTCAAAGCAGAAGATCGTATGAGCATTGAGTTGTGCGCATGGTTTAAAACCGATCTATTGTTCATTGCCTATACACGTTGTAATATTGAATAGAGACAAAATCAACAAGGATTTTCTCGGTGTACATGTATATATATAGCTGCCTATCACACGTGTGTAATCCTACTCGATGTGTATTCGAAAATTTTCCTTTACGTTGTTACCTTAAATTGCCTTAACGCAGGCAGTCATCCATTAAGTTCTCAGTATTGCAGTGTGGAACAGTTGTACTTACATTCAAATGGAATGTTTAACGATCATGTCGAAGAGTTCAAGACAATATATACACATTATAACAAAACTATCTATTTTCAAACTGGAAAAACTTTCCAATGCGTCGATAGAGATAGAGAGAGATAGTAATATCTAATGAGAAACACTAAGGACACGTTACAGGATAGATGTGTTTTGTTAAACACAATGCTTTTAAAAGAATGATTTTTACCAAACATTAAACCTGCCTTTCTGCAAATCACGGAACGCAAGTATATTATCGTTATATCATTTTAGAAATATGCAGGAAAGTTGGGAAATTATGTAAATGTCGTACTGTATACCACAGTACTCAATAAATGTGAGTACGATAAGCGATTAGGGGGTTAAACATAACGAATGTGACTGCCTTAAACAGAAATTTCTGTCAAGAAATAAGTGAGTGTGGCAGAAAATACTGGAAATATCTTTAAAATATTTGAACAGTCCAAAAGTCGAAACATAAAATTACCGTTTTTTGTGTATTGCTTATAAATTGTGTTATTGGGTTGTTAGAAATCGAGTTTACTACGAAAGTGTATGCCACTGAACTCAAACTAGTGTTTGGTCAGCACCGAGCATATCGTATACAACTCGCTTTCTTTATGACATAGATTCTGCCACGAGAATATTAAAAGAAATAAGAAACAGGTTACACTGAAATTTTTTTGATTTCAAGCTGGTCTCGATTTATTAACCATAATTATAATATTTTCACCAAACTTTTATGAAAATAAGCAATCTTCACATTACCAAATACATCATTGATATTCAATATTTCCCATGAACTCTTTTATGAGTTCATAATTAGACAAATATTTTTGTTTTATACATAATTACAAAACGTACCTATACCGCTAAACACTATAATGCAGTGAGGAAAGTCTTTGTCTCATGCACACATGGTGAGAGGATCTTAACTAAAGTAATGGTGATATCATTGAATTATATATTATAACAGAATAATAACAGAAGTGCTGTCTATAATGAGTTGTCTCCAGCTTTACACATTTATTTATGGTAAATGATGGTAATGCTTATTGATACGAAGTAGAATTGAATACGTCAGAAGGTATAATGATGCAAAAAGGTAGTAAAGGTGTTTATACATTCTCCATCTTGTCACATAAACAAGTACACAAATTATGTTAATGAAAAAGTCGCCGTATGGTGAGTTTTAATGTACACGTATTTCATTTGTTTCGCAATTGTTGTAAAACGAATAAAGTTTTTGTTTATATTTTCCATATAAAAGGGGGAAACAAACACAATTTAGAAATATAATTACATTACATTAACATTGCTTTTGTCATTTGATATTGTTCACAGTTTCATGTCCATACATATCGCGTTCTTTTCAAAGTATGAATGTAGCGATCATTATTGCAATAAGTGGCCTGTGCACGCCTATCTAGATTTTGACATTTTTTGTTTTGTTTAGAAAAATATGAACTTTTCTCAGTTGCCTTTTAGATTT